CTAGACCGAGAAAACAAGAACCCTTCGCTACGCATTCAGGAAAACATTAACATTGTTTATCTAGGCTGTATGTCTGGATTGAAAATTAACTTCCGTTAGGTTTCTTGAAAAGCCTTTGTAAAAATAGCAAAATTGCAGCCCAAGGGCTGAACTCGTGGATTTGCGTTGGGCTATGCCAGCGATGGCCATGGCAGCTATTGCCCTTATGGCAATGATTTGTGACTGGCTTCGTCTTTGCACATGTTCAAACAGCCAGCTGAGTTGACATTTGCGGTCGCGGCACATGCGCTTGGCTCAAATCGGTTTCATCTCACTCAAGGGAGTAGTGAGAAACGCATGTATGATCTCAAGACCTCTGCGTGTCTTGAAGAGGGAGTTCCAATTGAATGGTTCCATCATGGATCGATCAAGGACCCAGATCCTCTAATTGAAAGGCTCAAACAGGTCACAGCCGCTGTAGCCTGGGCCTATGGCAAGCGCAAGCTCAAGCGAAGCATGGTAATGGATGCACTGAGGCCGTCAGCGCATCCAGGCCCATGTTGAAGTTGCCTCTCAGGCCGTCTCAATCTCAAACGCGCCGGATACATGGTGTTGTCATGGGCAAACATTGGCGAATGCTGTTCAAATGCAATTCAGGTGGGTGCACTTCCCGCCACTGACTTGATTTGTGCTTTTGGACAAGTGACTAAACATTGCATACAAATAGAACCGGCACGAGGCGAGTGGCGGAAGCTTCCAGCAGCAATCAATGTTATACTATGGGGGTGAAGGGCAGGTTTTGCCTATAGGAGTTGGTGTGAGGTGTCAGGTCTTGCCAACTTTTCTCGCCTCATCTTCACCTCTTCTCATGACTTGGCAACTTTTGCCAACCTTTCTCATTTCTTCCACCTCAGTTCAGCTCTTCTCAACTGTTCTCATCTCTCATCGCCTCTGTCTTCATCGTGCCTCCGCTCACTTTTTTTCAACATGTCACACTTCTTCTCGCATTGGACCAACTCTTCTCGACTCTTTTCGCTTGTTTGAACTTATTCTCAACTCTTTCCACTTGTTCTCTGCTCTTTTCATTCTCACATCTTTTCATTTTTCCCCACTTTTCTGGCTGCTTCTCAACCCCGACCTCTTCTCAATTCCGCCGACTACCCGTCAACCTCGTCTCATTTCTGTTCATCTCTTCTCACATCTTTTCATTTCTTTCAACTCTACGCCGGGATAAATTTACAGATGGCGGCATTCGAAATCTGCATACAGGCGATGTGGCTGCTTCAGGAATTCTGACCAGTTTTCACGGCATGTTTGCTTTCAAGTTGTAATTGCCTGTCTCAGGAGGACTTGCCACTGTCGTCAGCTTCTTTGCTGCCATGCTTTTTCGACTCAAGATCTTTCTGCGGCATGGGCGTGTGCGTGTGTCACAACACTAAACTAACGGTTTCAAGCAGTCGTGACTTTGGAAGCCTTGGAATGGTTGGGTGTTTTCGCAAACACATAGCAACAATCCAGGGTGAGCAGCACAGCTACACGCTCTCTTGCAACTTACAAAGTAAACATGCCGTAAAAATCATGCCTAAATCCCTGATGCAGCCACACCACATTAATTCAGATTTCTAAAGAAGATGCCTCACAAGAACATGGCGCAGAGAAGCTTTTACTCGGGGCCTGAACTTGCAGGTCTCCGGTGAAACGGGGCATCAGAGAAACTTTGACACCGAGAAACTTTTACAGAGAGAAGCTTTTTCACAGGAAAGCTTTTACAGAGAGAAACATTGACGTACTGAAGCTTTTACGCACAGAGAAACTTTTACAAAGAAAAGCTTTTACACAGAGAAACTTTTACACTGAAAAGCTTTTACGCAGGGCAACTCCCACATGCAGCAAGCTTTTTCACAGAGAAACTTTTACACAGAGAAGCTTTTACACAGAAAAAAAATACACAGAGAAACTTTATGCGCAACGGCAACAGAAATTGCATCTCCAAAACCGGATCTCGGCGCCAAGGCGAAAAAAAGGACGGTTCTGGAGCAATTCGAAAAAGGAAATGTACATAAATGTACCAAAGAAAATCATCAGCGCCGAAATTGCTAAATTTCACAAATGAGCTTCGTGGTGTACTTTGTTTTCTGCCTTGTGTTTTTTGTTGTGGAAGCCTCCAATATAAAACTCAAGTGCCAGGAGCCAAAGCCATTTCAAACTGCAGAATTCGCTGTTCACCGCTACTTTGAAACGAGCCCTTTTCTTGCGGGCAGTGGGTCTTATGATATACGGCGAATATCTGCGACTGGCGTGATGGTTTTCTAGGGCTCACCATAAACATTTGGACTTGATCGCTAGTCATGCTGCGAAGACCTGGGATATTCTACAGGAACCATTTGCAACAAACATGAGCGGCAGCGATTCGGAGACATGCGTCAAAGCTTGCGGTGGCTGCGCTAGCCAATTTTTTCTTGTGAAAGCGCATCGGCGCCTAACCTTGCCAACCTCTAGAAAACAAATCTGAAGCCTTCTGCAAACGAGGGAGGCCAGTAAGCGTCATTCTGTGGCCAGCAAAACAAACAGGCCATTCCAAACAGATACCATTCAAATCGCTTTGCCTTGGAACATTTTTGAGTAAACAGTTGAAACATAAACACGAAAGCGCTTCCAACAATTTCGTACGTGCAGGACTCCTCATAAGTCATGAGATATTAGGCGGCAAGAAAACGCTTCAAGGTTCTGCAGCTTAGAGCGCCCCCCAGAGTTTCAATCAAAACTTCTACCCCTGCAAAAGGTTAAGCTTTGTACAGCGCCGTTTCCCTGAAAAAATGCAATGCGCCGCGCAACTCTTAACATTCAAATCTCACCTTTGATGTAGCAGTTCGCAACGGCAAGTTGCAAAACACAAAAGAAGCACAACACATTGCTGAAGAACAAGTGGCCTTGATGCAGCAGTTCCAATGCACAAAAGTACCGCAACATCTGCAAAGCAGCACAGCGTCAACAGCTAGCAGCTAGAAGCCTCAGTTCCAGTGCGCTCTCAGAACGAGAAGGATTCCGCGCTAAAGCGGCGACGCTGGCACCCGTCGCACAAGCGAGGCTGCTTTTCTCCGCACCGGAACGTCCATTTACCGCAAATCTTAACATTCAAATCTCATCCTTGATCTGCCTCTGCTCTCCTCCTTGTTGCTCTACCCTGCTCTACTTTACCCTACTCTTCTGTTAATGACTTCTGAGCTCCTTCTCTACTTCAAAAACACGCCAGTTGGACTTAGTGATCTTTTGAAACTGGACTCAATGAGCGATTTCTCTACTTCAGGAACATGCCAACTGGACTAAACGATCTTCTGAGCTATTTCTCTACTTCAGGAACATTCCAACTGGACTTAATGATCTTCGGAGCTACTTCTTTACTTCAAGAACATGCCAGCTGGACTTAATGATCTTCTGAGCAACTTCTCTTCTCCAGAAACATGCCAACTGGACTAAACGATCTTCTGAGCTATTTCTCTACTTCAGGAACATTCCAACTGGACTTAATGATCTTCGGAGCTACTTCTTTACTTCAAGAACATGCCAGCTGGACTTAATGATCTTCTGAGCAACTTCTCTTCTCCAGGAACATGCCAACTGGACTAAACGATCTTCTGAGCTATTTCTCTACTTCAGGAACATTCCAACTGGACTTAATGATCTTCGGAGCTACTTCTTTACTTCAAGAACATGCCAGCTGGACTTAATGATCTTCTGAGCAACTTCTCTTCTCCAGAAACATGCCAACTGGACTAAACGATCTTCTGAGCTATTTCTCTACTTCAGGAACATTCCAACTGGACTTAATGATCTTCGGAGCTACTTCTTTACTTCAAGAACATGCCAGCTGGACTTAATGATCTTCTGAGCAACTTCTCTTCTCCAGGAACATGCCAACTGGACTAAACGATCTTCTGAGCTATTTCTCTACTTCAGGAACATTCCAACTGGACTTAATGATCTTCGGAGCTACTTCTTTACTTCAAGAACATGCCAGCTGGACTTAATGATCTTCTGAGCAACTTCTCTTCTCCAGGAACATGCCAACTGGACCTAATGATCTTCTGAGCTATTTCTCTACTTCAGGAACATTCCAACTGGACTTAATGATCTTCGGAGCTACTTCTTTACTTCAAGAACATGCCAGCTGGACTTAATGATCTTCTGAGCAACTTCTCTTCTCCAGGAACATGCCAACTGGACCTAATGATCTTCTGAGCTGCTTCTCTACTTCAGGAACACGCCAATTGGATTAACGATATTCTGGGCTCCTTCCCTACTTCAGGAAAGCGCCAGCTGGACTTACCGATCTTCTGAGCTGTTTCTCCACTTCAGGAGCATGCCAGCTGGATGCCAGCTGGAATTAATGATCTTGCGAGCTACTTCTCTTCTTCAGGAACATGTCAACTGGACTCAATAATCTTTTTGGCTACGAGAAAATTTGAAAGTCTGTAACTCGGAGTTTCTCTACGAAATTTCCTTTGATGACTTGTTGTAGCAGTGTAGCATACGAATTTTCCTTTGATGACTTGTTGTAGCAGTGTAGCATACGAACGCAAAACGAGCAAAGTGGCTGCCCATGGAATATTAAGAGCACCCTATCACACGTGGGGCCAGAGGCGCAGCTCGTGTTGGAGCGGGAGTAAATTCGGGAGGCAGGTCAGATTCGTTTTTCATCGTTTTATTCATTTCACCATGTTGGTGCTGTCCGGGCCATTGGGTCCATGAGCTTGCCAGAGACAGACTCACGTTCTTGTTCTGTCATTTTTGGGGATCAATCATTCTTTAGGAGTCCATCTTCCCCACAACATGATTCAACGTGATTGCCCACAAGCAAACTATGTCCAAACAACTCACTGACTGAAACAGCGACATGGAACCATATCAGGGTTGACGTGGAAAACTCAAAAAAACACGCCAAACATGCCCCCCCATATGAATATAATGGCGACCTCACAGCAGTAGCCCACCATGCTGCTCAACAGATTTGCTCAGCATTTTTTTCCACGCAAGTAGGAGTCGGAGAGAATAAGGTGTGAGAAATATGAGCTGGCAAGGTCCACTGACTTCACGTCTCAAAATGTTCCGACGTTTTGATGGCTTCACGACCTTCACGAAGCTCCGATGCTTCTTGGCCAGGGTCCTGCGAGCCACGCTAGTTCAACGATGGTTCCACGATCGCCTCATGTGGTTTGTACTGCTCTAGACTGGAATAGTTTGTACATTGCTACCCAAATACTTCTCAATGTTCTTCAATGATCTTAGTCGGAGCGGAAGCGGATTCAGCACTTGTGACAGGAAAGTGAACGGGGGCGTTCATGTATGTTGCGTTCTAGTTGGCTTGCTTGGAGCAGGATGCAAGCTTTGATACTGATAACTTTCAGTCGGCGTGCTCCAAGGTGTTCCAACCTTGCAGCTAGACGACAGTGTGTTCCGAAAGAAGAGCAGGAGGGATAATAAATGAGTCAGGTTATGAATGAAAGTGACCATACATGGGGTGAAATGACTATGTGTAAATGGAATGTAAAAAATGTACAGACGCATTTCACGCACAGAAGCTTTTACAAAGAGAAGTCTTTACGCAGAAGAGCTTTTACACGCAGAAGCTTTTTCACAGACGAGCTTTTGCACACAGGAGCTTTTACAAAGAGAAGCTTTTACCCAGAGAAACTTTTACACACAGAAGCTTTACACACAGAAGCTTGTACACAGAGAAGTTTTACACAGAGGAGCTTTTACACAGAGCACCTTTTACAGACAGAGGCTTTTACACACAGAACTTTTACACAGAGAAGCCTTTACACATGCGAACTTTTACACACAGCTTCCTTTAGATGCAGAAGCTTTAACACACGAAAGCTTTTACGCAGACATGTCTTTACACAGAGAAGTCTCTGACAGAGGGGCTTTTACACACAGAAGCTCTTACACACAGAAGCTGTTACACACAGAAGTTTTTCCCGAGAGCGCCTGCGAAGGGTTCTTCGTAAAAAAGCAGCCGTTATACTAGATCTTCACTCCTTCACATCTGCTGATCTAGATCTTCACTCCTTCACATCTGCTGATCTAGATCTTCACACCCTCACACCTGCAGATCTAGATCTTCACACCCTCACACCTGCAGATCTAGATCTTCACACCCTCACATCTGCAGATCTAGATCTTCACACCTTCACACCTGCAGATCTAGATCTTCACATCCTCACACCTGCAGATCTAGATCTTCACACACTCACATCTGCAGATCTACATCTTCACACCTTCACACCTGCAGATCTAGATCTTCACACCCTCACACCTGCAGATCTAGATCTTCACACCCTCACATCTGCAGATCTACATCTTCACACCCTCACATCTGCCGATCTAGATCTTCACACCTTCACATCTGCAGATCTAGATCTTCACACCCTCATATCTGCAGATCTAGATCTTCACACCCTCACATCTGCAGATCTAGATCTTCACACCCTCACACCTGCAGATCTAGATCTTCACCCTCACACCTGCAGATCTAGATCTTCACACCCTCACATCTGCAGATCTACATCTTCACACCCTCACATCTGCCGATCTACATCTTCACACCTTCACATCTGCAGATCTCCTCTCGCTCTTCTTCTATTTCTCTCTTTAGGCGGGGGCGGTGCCGCCGGAGCGCCACGAAACGCAACCCTTTCGCACGAAATGGACGTTGGACGCCAAAAACTGAGGTAAAATTGCGATTTTACTTTGTCCATTGCAACCCTTTCGCACGAAATGGACGTTGGACGCCAAAAACTGAGAAAAAGTTGCGACTTTGAAGCGTCCCGCGCAACCCTTTCGCACGAAATGGACGTTGGACGTCAAAAACTGAGGAAAAATTGCAACTTTGAGGTGTCGCGCGCAACCCTTACGCACGAAATGGACGTTGGACGTCAAAAACTGAGGAAAAATTGCGACTTTGAGTTGTCAATCGCAACCCTTACGCACGAAATGGACGTTGGACGTCAAAAACTGAGGAAAAATTGCGACTTTGAAGTGTCCCGCGCAACCCTTACGCACGAAATGGACGTTGGCCGTCAAAAACTGAGGAAAAATTGCGACTTTGAGTTGTCAATCGCAACCCTTACGCACGAAATGGACGTTGGACGTCAAAAACTGACAAAAAATTGCAATTTTACTGTGTGTAAAAGCTTCTGTGTGTAAAAGGGTCTGTGTGTAAAGGAGTCTGTGTGTAAAAGCTTCTGTGTGTAAAAGCGTCTGTGTGTAAAAGCGTCTGTGTGTAAAAGCGTCTGTGTGTAAAAGCGCCTGTGTGTAAAAGTCTCTGTGTGCAAAAGCATCTGTGTGTAAAAGCGTCTGTGTGTAAAAGAGTCTGTATGTAAAAGGGTCTGTGTGTAAAGCGTCTGTGTGTAAAAGGGTCTGTGTGTAAAGCGTCTGTGTGTAAAAGTGTTTGTGTGTAAAAGCTTCTGCGTGTAAAAGCTTCTGAGTGTAAAAGCCTCTGTGTGTAAAAGCGTCTGTGTGTAAAAGCGTCTGTGTGTAAAAGCGTCTGTGTGTAAAAGCTTCTGTGTGTCAAAGTTCTGTGTGTAAAAGCGTCTGTGTGTAAAAGCGTCTGTGTGTAAAAGTGTTTGTGTAAAAGTGTTTGTGTGCAAAATCGTCTGTGTGTAAAAGCGTCTGTGTGTAAAAGTCTCTGTGTGTAAAAGCGTCTGTGTGTAAAAGTTCTGTGTGTAAAAGCGTCTGTGTGTAAAAGCGGGTAAAAGCGTCTGTGTGTAAAAGCGTCTGTGTGTAAAAGCGTCTGTGTGTAAAAGCGTCTGTGTGTAAAAGCGCCTGTGTGTAAAAGCTTCTGTGTGTGAAAGCCTCTGTGTGTAAAAGCTTCTGTGTATAAAAGCCTCTGTGTGTAAAAGCTTCTGTGTGTAAAAGCCTCTGTGTGTGAAAGTGTTGTGTGTAAAAGCGTCTGTGTGTAAAAGCGTCTGTGTGTAAAAGCGTCTGTGTGTAAAAGCGTCTGTGTGTAAAAGCGTCTGTGTGTAAAAGCGTTTGTGTGTGAAAGCGTGTGTGCGTGTGTAAAAAGCATCTGCGTGTAAAAGCGTCTGTGTGTAAAAGCGTCTGTGTGTAAAAGCGTTTGTGTGTGAAAGCGTGTGTGCGTGTGTAATAAGCATCTGCGTGTAGGAGCGTCTGTGTGTGATGGCATTCTCAGTTTGGAACGCAGCGAACAAATCCTTTGCAGTGGATTGTGCAACTCTGCACCGACAAGCATAGTTTACCTCTTTACCTCTTTCCTTGGCTCAGATGTGAACGTAGAGACAAGATGCATTGTGTACAGAGTGAACATCCATATTCTTATATGTACGCTGAATGTTCGTGAAACAAGTGACGATTGGCAAACAGGTATCTTGAACATTTCTTGGACTTCTCGAGGTTTCTGTGGGGGCTGTCCCTGAGATCTCGAGAATTGCATTGTGACAATGTCAGTGTTTGTTTACGATGCAGTGGATCTATGTGATGTATAGCACGAAAAAAATATATGTAATGTTTTCATTGAAATGCATGAGCAGTGGGCAAAAAATACTATTCGGGCCGATCCTGACATGCCGCCATTTTTAAGTCGGGACCTTATATGCAAATGAATAACATGTGGTTTGATGATTTGATGTGTTCATTGTAAGCTTCACTGTTGACACGTTCAGCCTTCAGTTTGCAGGACTCTGCGACAGTGGTTCTTTGCCATGTCAAACTCATGAGTGGCATTCTCAGTTCTTTTGTGGACATGTCCATGATGATTGTTTTGTGCACAGAGTGAACATTCTTATTCCCATATGTACGCTGAATGTTCGTGAAACAAGTGATGATCGGACCGCATGGTTTTTGACAATGAAAATGATCTGATGCTGGTTTCGCAGTGCGGTTGATGTATTTATATATAGCATGTGTATTGTTTGCACGTTTGCCATTCTTTGATAGACGTTGTTCGGGAAGCAGCAGCTGAGTTTTGAGCTTGCAGGTCGTTCTCCAGAGGATGGTGTCTTCTTATCGCAAGCTCAGGAGTTGCGATCCCAGTCTCGAGCTTCACAGAGTATGTTTTGCGTTGGTCCATGCTAATTCACTGTTTCACGTTCAGACCATGTTGACCTCTTTGCTCTATAGATGTGAATTGATCATTCCTTGTCTTAGATGTGAGCAAATGGACAAGACAAGAGTCACGCATGGGGAAACAAAATACCATGCAGCATGAGCAAATAGTGTAGGCATGCTTGACAAGACACCCCAACGGTTCTGGCATTTCTCGAGATTTTTTGAGATTTCTGAACGTGGTTCGATCCTTACTTACAAATTGCATGTGCGTCTTTCGTTGCCATGTCTGTTGTTAATGTTTTTTGTCACAGTTTGTCTTTTGAAGGACTTGGCATTCTGCAGAGTCTTCTATGCTGCTGAGGGGATTTGAATGTGCGTGATGCTCGCTCACCTTGAACTCATGAAGATGACGGATGTAGTTTATAGCATCATGGTACCGGCTTTTGCTTGTTTTTGTTGGCAAACTGTGTGGGAAATCGTCTATTCAAATGAACAACATGTGGTTTTAGTTGGGAATTCACGGTACCAGATTTCTTTGAAATGTGTTGCTTTGACGTGTTCATTGCAAGCTTCACTGTTCAGTTTGCAGGTCTCGGCGACAATCGTGCCCATGTCCAGTGTCAAACTTAGCAGTTGTGCTTCGAGTTTCGAAGTGCGAGTGCGTAGCCAAGTGTCAAACTCATATGCGTGTCGTTGTTGTGTGTTTTGTGAAGTTTTCTTACCTTTGTCACCTTTGTGGGTATTTGCATGAGAAAATGAATTATCATGTGTTATAGACGGCATCATGATGCCGAGCTGTTTTGTCCCATTTATGGGGAAATGTTCTTAATAAAATCCCTGACTTGGTAGCTTCTTGTTTGGAACAGTGGAAAATTGTTTGTGGCCAACTCTGGAAACAGTCCATGCTGGCAGTGACCAGGGGCGAATCCATGCACGTGCTCTTTCATTGCTTTGGAGGCATCAATCGAAGCGCTGGGGCTTTATGTGCTTGGCTCGTCGTGGGTTACAACTACCCTGCAGAGGATGCCGTCCAGTTGCTGCTTAAGAAAAGACCTTCCTTGCGCCCTTGGCACAATCGCCCCTATGTCTTGGAGG